TCGACTAGTAGAAAATTTGAAATAGGCACCCCCCTTTAGCACCGGTTCTTGAAAACTGGTGCCAAAATAAATGGGCGGGATTGGAAATTTTAGAATTGGTACCGGTTCCAACCTAAACTGGTGCCAAATCCTTTAATTAGCACCGATTCAAACCGGTGCCAACCATTTAAAAAAAAAACAAAACAAAACAAAAGAAGGGAATGGAGTTGGCACCGGTTTAAAGCAAACCGGTGACAATTATTGCAATTAGCACCGGTTCGAACCGGTACCATTTAAAACAACAAAAAGCCGAGTTTTTTACATAACTCCTTCATTTCTTCTTCAATTTGTTTTTCATTCTCTCTTACCTCTCTGAAATAAAATGCATGCCTCTCTCCTTCAATTCCTTATCTCTCATCTCTCATCTCTATTCTTCTCTCTCCAACCAAGCACAACAATCACCACAACAACCAAGACGCCGCCCGTCAACCACAACAAACATCACCGCCGCCTAAAATCAGAAATTTGAGGTTAGGGTTTCTGGGTTTTGGGTTTTTCACGATTTCTGGGTTTTTTCACGGTTTCAAGTTTCTGGGTTTTGTGGGTTGAATCTGTGTGGGTGTATCTGTGCGAAATCGTTCGTTTTTAAGGGGTTTATTTGATCGATTTATGTTCGATTTTTGGGTTTATTTGTTCGATTTATTTTCGATTTGTTTGGGGTTTATTTGTTCTATTTATTTTTTGTTTTTATGGTTGAATTTATCTGGGTTAATCGTTCGTTTTAAAGGGGTTTATTTGATCAATTTTTGTTATATTTTGGGTTTATTTGTTCGATTTATTTTCAATTTTTGGGGGTTTATTTGTTCTATTTATTTTTTTTTTGGTTGAATTTATCTAGTTTAATCGTTCGTTTTTAATGGGGTTTAATTGATCGATTGTGTTTTGATTTTTTGGGTTTAATTGTTCGATTGGCTTTCGACTTTTTTAATGTTTATTTGTTCTATTTATATTTCGTTTTTTTGGTTGAATTTATCTGGGTTGAATCTTAGTGCGTTGTTCGATTTTTGTTCGATTTTTTGGGATTATTTGTTCGATTTGTTTTTCAAGTTTTTTGGGGTTTATTTGTTCTATTTATTTTTGGTTTTTTTGTTGAATTTATCTGGGTTAATCGTTCGTTTTTAAGGGGTTTTTTTGATCGATTTTTGTTCGTTTTTGGGTTTATTTATTCTATTGATTTTCGATTTTTTTTGGGGTTTATTTGTTCGATTTTTGTTCGATTTTGTGGTTTATTTGTTCGATTTTTGTTGAATTTATCTGATTTTATTCTTTTAATTGATGCAGGTTGAAGTTTCTGATTTTTTAATTTTCAGTTTGAAGGTCGTGAATTTGCTGAGTATGAAGTTCGAAGTTTCTGGGTTGTAAAATAACAAATTCAGTAATTGCTCTGTTTTTTTAAATAAATTGTAAAATAATAATTTATTTGATGAATATAGCCTTGTTCGATTTATTGTTTTGGATTGTATGCTGAAATTGGATTGATGAATAAATTGTATGCTGAAATAAATTTTTTTTTATTGTTTCAAGGCATAATTGGCACCGGTTATCCGGTGCCAATTGTAGTTAAAATTAAAAAAAAAAATAGCGCGACATTTACATTTGGCACCGGTTAACCGATGCCAAATGCTTTAGTTGGCACCGGTTTTGAACCGGTGCCAAATTTTTGGGGATTTGGCATCTCTCAAATCCCCTACGGTTCAAAACCGGTGCCTTAGGGGGGGTTTGAATCGGTGCCAAATTACCTTTTTCGTCTAGTGTTCACTAAGCCTGTTCCATTTAGTAAGTTCAAACATTGCTTGGACTTGCTAAAATCGAAAACTATGTATGTAGTACGCCCTTAGGGGCGATGTTGGGAAGCTCCTCGTAGAGGTGTGTTAGCCTTAAGGTGGAGCTTGCCCGGGCTTGTAATGCAGGTGGAGCGTTATGAGTTGTTATACTTGGAGACGAGTATGTGATGGGTCTTGGTTGGAGGCTTATCGGGATGGGTCTTGGTTGGAGACTTATCGGGATGTACGGCTTATGCATGATCTTTGCATCGAGTTAGGCTTGAGATGTGTTTCACTATGTGATTGATGGGATCGTGTTGCTGACTACGAGTTCTCGTCAAGGTGGAGATTGTTGAAAGAAAGTTACTCGAATCGCAGGAAATCTTCACTGCCCGATCGGGCGGCCCGTGCCCGGTCGGATTGGGCGGTGAAGATTGGAATTCAGAGAAGATGGAAGCCTCGAAGAACCTTAAGAACCCTCACGCGCCCGATCGGGCAGCCCGTGCTCGGTCTGACCGGGCGGTGAGGGGTGGTAAGTGTGAAAGATGGCAGCTTGAAGTTTTCCCCACTCGCCCGATCGGGCAGACTTTGCCTAGTCTGACTGGGCGGTGGGGTAGGCTTCGTTGAAGTCCTTGTTTGAAGATCTGCTTCTCGCGCCGATCGGGCAGACCCTGCCCGGTCTGACCAGGCGGAGAAGGAAAGTACGGAGCGCGTATTTTTGCGATGTTAAAGTTATCTTTTATTTTAGGGATTAATATAAAAAACTCCCAAATATTAGAATTAGGGTTACAAGAGTTAGAGGAGAGCCGTTCTTGAGAAAGACAAGAATCATCTTTGTAATCTTTGCGGTTTATAGTGAAAACTTTGATCTCGGTGCCTGTGGACGTAGCTATCACATTGATAGTGAACCACGTTAATTGTTGTGTGTGTTTGCTTGAATTTCTTATTGTTTTTTTATTGTTTTGATCTTTGCTTCCGCTGTCGCACAACAATATATACCTAAGTCTTACCCAAGTGATTCATCAGTCTCGCGTATAAAATACGATTACATTATTAATTGAACTCAACCCAAATGACTCGTTTACCACCTTTGTCTGTCAATAATTAACAAGTGATTAAGATCTAAAAACATCAAATAAATTTAATATTTGAGGTGGACTGCCTTTTATTAATAAAGACCATTAAGCGGTAATTATGGTGATAAAGAAGAAATTTGGTGGATAACAAACGAACAATGTCAAGCTAAGTTAGGTGATTTTAGCATATGTTTTACATCGTATAAATTAAAATACTTAAAATTGGTATCAAGAGCCTAGGTTAAATCCTTGGAGAGTTCTTAAGGGAAACAATGGCAGGAGATTCAACAATAAGAATTGAAAAGTTTACCGGGAAGAACAGTTTTGGGCTATGGCAAATCAAGATGATGGCTTTGTTGAAACAACATCAGATATGGCGTCTGTTGGCTCCAAAGGATGCTACTTCGGGGTCAGGAGACGGACTGACTGACTTGCAATTGGAAGTTATGGAAGAGAAGGCTCACTCTACCATATTACTTAGTCTTGATGATCATATCATCACGGAGGTTGCTGATCAGGAATCGGCGGCTAGATTGTGGCTGAAGCTGGAGTCATTGTATATGACTAAGTCGCTAACCAACAAATTATTACTGAAGCAGCGGTTGTTTAGCCTCTCCGCAATCAGGTACTTCCTTACGAGAACATCTAGAAAAACTTAACTCTATTTTACTTGATTTGCTTAATATAGATGGTAAAATTGATGATGAGGATGCTGCGTTGATTATACTTGTTTCTCTACTGTCTAGTTATGAGAATTTTGTGGAGTCTTTTTGTTGTTGGTAAAGACTCACTGACCTTAGAAGAAGTGAAGGCAACACTTCATACTAGGGAACTTCGTCAGAAGGCTACAGGTGATAATGGGGATAGTGGTAGTGGGTTAATTGTTTAATTCCGGGAAGTCTAAAAAGAAAAAAGGGGTTTAACAAGGGGAACAATGCTGGGTCGGGTGCTGGTAACGACGATGGATCTGGTAAAACTGCTACTAAGACCTGTTATTACTGTAAAGAACGGGTCACTATAGGGCTAATTGTCCGGTGAGGAAAAACAAGTCCAATCTGCTGTAGTTGAAGAAAAAATCGAATGAGAACTATAATTCAGAGGAAGATTTAGCATTAGTCAGTTCTGCTAGGTCTGACGGTTTACCTGATTACTGGGTTCTAGATTCGGGTGTTCGTTCCATATGAGTCCACGTCGAGATTGGTTTGATACATATGAGCCTAGCAATGGAGGTACGGTTATAGTAGGTAACAATGTTCCATGCAAGGGCACCGGTATTGGTTCCATGAGATTGAGGACTGTTGATGGGGCGGAGGTTAACTTTGACTAGGGTGCGACATGTTCCTGCTTTAGGAAAGAATCTGATTTCATTGGGTACTCTAGATGATTTGGGGTACAATGGTGTGTTTTCGATTGGGAGTTGTGTATTTACAGAGGTTCTGAGATGGTACTTAAGGGTATCAAGAAGAACACCCTCTATGTCTTTGAGGGTGCTACACTGTCTAGTTCTGCGGTTTTGTGCATCGGTGTCTCACCAGGAGATGACTAAGATTTGGCACATGAGGCTTGGTCATATGGGGAGAAGGGGATGCAACTATTGTCCAAGAGAGGTCTTCTATCCGGTGTCAAGGTTGCCAACCTTGAATTTTGTGAGCATTGTGTGTTTGGTAAGAAACACAGGTCAAAGTTCAGCAAGGGTGCTCACATTACTGAAGCTGTGCTTGATTACATCCATTCAGATTGCTGGGGTCCATTTAGAGTTGAAGGTATGGGAGGTTACCACTATTTTGTGTCGTTTGTTGATGACAAGTCCCGATACACATGGCCTAGGTTGCTAAAGTCAAAAGATGAGGCCTTCAAAGCTTTTAAGCAATGGAAAGCTTTGGTGGAAAATCGACAGGGAAAGAAGATTAAGAAGCTACGAACGGACAATGGGCTAGAGTTTTGCAAAGACGAGTTTAATCAGTTCTGTGTAGATGAGGGTATTGGTCGGCATCATACCGTCAAGAAGATACCACAGCAGAACGGTGTTGCAGAACGGGTTGATCAGACACTGCTATAGAGAGTTCGATGCATGCTCTCTAATGCAGGTCTAGGGAGGAAGTACTGGAGTGAAGCTGTGTTAACAGCTTGTTATGTCATTAATAGGGGTCCTCATTCAGGCATTGATTTCAAGATTCCTTTTGAGATCTGGAGTGGTAAGTTGCCTAATTTTTCAAATTTGAAGATTTTTGGTTGTGTTGTGATGAGTGACATTTATGTCACTCTTAGGGGTAGTATTTAGGTCTTTTTCCTCCTATTTTTCTTAGATTTTTCCACCTCATTTATCCTCTTATGGCTTCTTTATGTGTTGATGAAATGTAATGCTTATTTGCCCTTATTTTGATAATCTTTATGCATTATTTTATCATCCCCCATGCTCTCGTGAACTTTGCTATCTTTTGCAGGTTCCATGACGGTCCTATGCACGGTGGGAGGCCCCTTGGCCAAGTATGGAAGCCATGGACAAAGGCAAGAGGAGAAAAAGGGAAGGAGAGGAAGCAAGAAAAGGAAGTGCAAGAGGAGGTGTGGCCGAACCTCTGAAAGGTTCGGTCGAACCTAGGTGTGGTCAAACTTTTGAAAAGTTTGACCGAACCTCCAAGGTGCAAAGAAGGCAGTGTCAAACCAGTTTTCAGCAATTTTGCAAGAGAGGTCGAACCTCAAAAGTTCGACCAAACAAGGATCAGGGAGGTTCGACCGAACCTACCCAGAGTTCGACCGAACCTACCCTGAGTCCGACCGAACCTACCCAGAGTTCGGTTGGACCTTTTCCCGATCTCAGCCAATTTTTGTACGGACTATTTAAGGTCCTTTTGAGATTGTTTTTTTAAAAAAAGGAAGGAAAACAGTAGAATAGTTTTTCAGCAAAAACTCTCTTAGTTAGCACCTTAGTTCATTAAATTAGTTGATTTAGTTTTAGAAACTCTCAAAAAATCTAAATCATTTGTAGAAGCAAACTTCAAGGATTATTCTCATATTTTCAGCAATTATTCAACATTTTTGAAGCTTCATTTTAGTAACTTTTCTCCTTCCACTTTACTTGGTTTCTTATTTATTTTGTTGTACTTGTTATTTGAATCCCTTTTAGTTCTTTGATGATTGTTGTTGAATGTTAGTTCTATTTGTAGCAAGTTACTATTCCAAGTTTGTTGAGCAAGATAGAACCCTAAACTTTGATTTTGTGCTTTTCAATATGATGTGTGAGTAGTTCCTTAGCTAGGGGTTGGGTGAAACCCAACCTAATGGTGATTATGTGACTTTGGGAGTGTTTTTGATGATGGATTGTGATTAAAATGGATTATATGAGATTGCTTGTTAGTTCTTCATGATAGGAGTAATTAACCTAGATTATTGAACTTGACGACATGAAATGTTTGGTTCGACATGGAAGTGTGGGTTGAATGTTTCATTACCTATTGCAATATGATTATGTATCTTTTGTTGCTAAGTTAATGAGGGATCTAAGCTTAGTGATTTGAGTTGTTTTCATATCGTTTGAAGTTGGTCTTGCATGTGGTCTTTGCTATCCCATTATCCTTGCTCCTCCCTATTCGCCTAATTGCTATTGGTTGAGTGAATCCTATTCCCCTAGTGATTTAATCCCTTGAATTCAACCTTTAGTTGTAGTTTGTTAGTTAATCACCACTCATACCTTGATTTCGATTTAGCTTGAGCGTTAAGATTATTTAGCAATTGATTCCCGTTCTCCGTGGACCGAACCCTTACTTGCCATTATACTTGTTTGAGTGAGGTGTTTGTTATAAATATGTTTAACCTAGCCTAGATTGTGCGACCGATTTAGCGCTTTTCATGTTGCTTATTATCATGTTAGTGAGGGTAAGCTAGATCCACAAGCCAAGAGGGGGTGCTTTGTTGGGTACGGGGATGGTGTGAAGGGGTTTAGAATTTATTCACCTTCGGAGGTCGGGTCATTCTTAGTAGGGATGTTACTTTCGATGAAAACTCCATGTATTCAATTAAAAGTACGGAGACTTCGGATTTGGGAAGGGAAGGGGAGAACTTATCACAAACAGATGGGGTGCTTGAGGTGCATCAGTCTACCATTGCTAATTTACCTCGGGTACAATACATTAATGATGATGCCGATGTTCCAGTCCCACTTGAAACTGAGATTACTCCAACTCATCCTAACTCTGGGGAAGAGGTGGAGCAATCAAATCAGGGATCATCTAGTCAACCTAACACCATTCTTGAGAGGCCTAAACGAGTTATCAAGAAGCCTGTTAGATTGATTAAAGAGATGGAGGGAAGAACTTGCTGTGTTGATGAGTTTGACAGGTTATGCATTGAGTGTAGCTGATGATGTAGAGTCATTTTGAACCTGCCACATATAAACAAGCAATAAGTTGTAGTGAGTCGGCACAATGGCTTGCTGCAATGGGTGAAGAGATGCAGTCTCTTTACAAGAACAGAGTGTGGGAACTGGTAAAGGTACCGGAAGGGAGGAAGCTTGTAGGGTGTAAGTGGATTTACAAGAAGAAAAAAAGGGTTATCAGAAACTGATCAAGTGTGTTTTAAGGCTAGACTAGTTGCTAAGGGATTCAGTCAGGTAGAAGGGGTTGATTTTGTGGAGATATTCTCACCTGTGGTTTGGCATACTTTTATCCGTGTGTTATTGTCAATTGTAGCACACTTTGATCTTGAATTGGAGCAGTTAGATGTTAAAACGGCTTTCCTTCATGGTGATTTGGAGGAGGAGATTCTGATGAAGCAGCCCGAGGGATTCGAGGTTCCTGGAAAAGAACACTATGCCTGCAGATTGCTAAAGTCATTGTATGGACTTAAGCAATCCCCCCGACAGTGGTACAAAAGGTTTGATTCTTTTATGGTTTCGCATGGTTTTGATAGGAATTCATATGATTGCTGTGTGTATCATAGTAAACTGGAAAATGGTTCCATGATTTATCTGTTGTTATATGTTGATGACATGCTGGTTGCCACAAAGAATAAATCTGATATTACTAGATTGAAGGAGTTACTTAACTCGGAGTTTGACATGAAAGACTTAGGTGCAGCTAGGAAGATTTTGGGTATGGAGATCTATCGAGATCGAGCTAGAGGTAAGCTTTTCTTGACTCAGAAAAGCCACATTGAAAAGATTTTGTCTCGTTTTGGGATGGAAAAATCAAAGCCTATAAGTACGCCAACTACTGTTAGCTGTAAGTTGTCTTTGTCTATGTCACCTCAAACTGAGGAAGAGTTAACTTATATGTCTAGAGTTCCATATGCCAATGCAGTTGGCTGTTTGATGTATGCTATGGTCTGCACTAGACCAGATATTTCGCATGCTGTTAGTGTTGTAAGCAGGTTTATGGCTCGACCTGGAAGGGAACAATGGCATGGGGTGAAAAGGATTTTTCGCTATTTGAGAGGGACAACTGATATTGGTCTTGTGTATGGGAATGGTAAGGAGTGTTTGGTGACTGGCTACAGTGATTCTGATTATGCAGCTGATGTGGATACCAGGAGGTCCGTGACAGGGTATGTGTTTACCTTGGGTGGTTCTGTGGTTAGTTGGAAGTCTACATTGCAGTCTTCGGTTACGTTGTCTACTACTGAAGCTGAGTACATGGCTTTAACTTCTGCAACTCAGGATTCTATTTGGCTCAAAGGTCTTGTAGGTGAACTGGGTATTGCACAGGATTTTGTTACGGTGTATTGTGATAGTCTAAGTGCCATTTGCTTAGCTAAAGATCAAGTGCACTATGATCGGACCAAGCACATTGATGTCAGGTATCATTTCTTACGTACTGACAAGAGGATTAAGGTGAAGAAGATTGGGACTGCTGACAACCCGGCTAATTTCTTCACTAAGCCTATTCCATTTAGTAAGTTCAAACATTGCTTGGACTTGCTAAATATCGATTACTATGTGATGTAGTGCGCCTTTACAGGCGGTATTGGGGAGCTCCTGGTGTAGGTGTGTTGGCCTTAAGGTGGAGCTTGCATGGGGCTTGTGATGCAGGTGGAGCATTATGAGTTGTTATACTTGGAGACGAGTATGTGATGGGTCTTGGTTAAAGGCTTATCGGGATGAATCTTGGTTGGAGACTTATCAGGATGTACGGCTTATGCATGAGCTTTTGCATCGGGTTAAGTTTGAGATATGTTTCACTATGTGATTGATGGGATCGTGTTAGCTGACTACGAGTTCTCGTCAAGGTGGAGATTGTTGAAGAAAGTGACTCGAATCGCAGGAAACCTTCACCCTCACTGCCCGGTCCGACCGGGCAAGAGCCGCCTGATCGGGCAATGGGGGTTTCTTGAATTTGCCCAGGCTGCCAACTTACACCATCTAACCCACACCGCCCGGTCAGACCGGGCAGGGTCTGCCCGATCAGGCGGGTGGAGGTCTTCGTGGCTTCCCTCTTCTGCATTCCTCTCTTCACCGCCCGGTCCGGCCGGGCAAGGGCCGCCCGATCGGGCGGTGAAGATTTCCTGCGATTTGAGTCACTTTCTTCAACAATCATGATTATAAAAAAAGTGCACTAACATGCATTTGCTATTAGTCTATGATATTATCAAATTTTATGATACATAATCCAAAAAGGGTACATTCGTTTCATCATCATTATTAAACAATTAAGTACAATCCAATTTTTATAAACCTATAACTTAAAATTCAATGCCTCATTGACTTTTGCATTCACAATTTAACACTTTAACCATAATAAGTATTAGTTTATACTAATTATCAACTAATTAATAATGAAAATGAAGATTCTACTGTCTTTACAATATTACATACAAACCTTCCTTTGAATTTCATGTACTACGTACATTATTTTTAGGCCTTATTTTTATCCTAAGTTTACATTGCTTTATCTAATATCTTGTCCATCTTACTTCAGTATTAATAAGCACTATAATCATACAATTAATCAAGTCATTAGCAACTTTCCTAGCTAACACATCAACTAACCAAATGGCTTTGTTGTTATTGTGCTTCTTCTTCTTGCTATACCATACTCTAACTTTTGTGCCTGTTTCTTCCTCGTTCGATTTCTCTAATACCTCTTCATCATCACACTTCAAGTGTCACAACGACAATTACTATGCATTGCTTCGATTCAAAGAGTCCTTTGTCTCGGATAGCATGGGTGCAACATCGTCTTGGCAGAGGAATACTGATTGTTGTGAATGGCAAGGAATAAAATGTCATCCAACAAATTTTCGTGTGATTGCACTCGACATTAGCAATGGTCGCATCATTGGTAGTGGTATCGAATCTAATAACACCCTCTTTGATCTCGATCACCTTAAGAGCCTTAACCTTGCCTATAATTCCTTCTTATCCTCACTTATTTCACCTAAATTTGCACAATTTTCATCTTTGAAACACCTTAATCTTTCGGGTTCATTTTTTAGTGGTGAAGTCCCACTTGAAATAGGCCAACTCTCTAAATTAAGAACCCTTGATCTCTCATGGAATTCTCTTCAAATGCCAAGCTTTAAGACGATCATAAGCAATTTAACAGAGTTGAGAAGACTTGATCTTGGTGACACTACCTTTGATTCGATGGTATTTCCATCGATCACTAACTTATCTTCGTTAACATACTTAAACTTACGTAGTTGCCAGTTAGAAGAGGAGCTTCCTATTGATATTCTCAACCTACCGAACTTAGAGTACCTTGATGTTGGAGTAAACAATGATGTTTACTCCAATTTCGCGCTATATAACTGGACTAGTCCCTTGCAATACTTAGACCTTTCCTTTGTCAATTTCTCTTCGAAACTTCCATCATCACCTGGCCATGCTCAATACAATCTTCTAAGAGTGTTGCGACTACCAGGCTGTGGTTTCCATGGACCCGTCCCAGCTTGGGTGTGGAACATTCTTAGGCTGGAAGTCGTCGTGTTAGTCAACAACCACCTCACACGTGTTCTAGGTGAGTACCTTCTTAGTATTACTAGTCCAACTTTGGAGTATCTTGATCTTCGTTCAAACAAATTCACTGGTAATGTTAACTTGTATGACATCTTTTCTAATCTCCCACGCCTTATGGGACTTCTTTTATCAGATAACGCGCTATCAGTGAGCACCATAGGAACTGATACTCGTGTTGATTTGACCGCCTTCCCCTGGCCTGAAATATCTGTTTTAGCACTTTCTTCCTGCAACCTAACTGAATTTCCTGAACTCTTGCAGAATCAAACATACTTGCAAGATTTAGACTTGTCCAAAAACAATATTCGAGGTGAAATTCCTCAGTGGATTTGGATTTTCCAAGTAGGGAATAACATCTTAGAATGTATAGACCTTTCTCACAACTTTTTGACAGGAAGTCTAGTAAACCTTCCTTGGAACAATTTGTTGTTCATTGATGTCAGTTCTAATCTGCTACACGGTCCACTTCCATTACCATCCGTTACCACTTTCTGGTTCGCCACTTCAAATAACAACTTCACAGGCCCAATTAACCCTTCAATATGCACATTAACTTCCCTTACACTTCTTGATTTGTCTAATAACAGCTTAGGTGGTGAATTCCCACATTGTTTAGGAAACGTCGGTGATGACTTTGTCGTGTTGAATCTAGGCTCGAATAACATTCATGGATCCCTACCTTCAACTTTTTCCAAGTGCAGTAGCTTGCAGTTTCTAGACTTGAGCAGCAACTTGCTGCAGGGGTAGGTTTCGCGGTCTTTGGCCAACTGCACAAACTTACAGTTGGTGAATTTTAAAAGCAATCAATTAAGGGATGAATTTCCATACTGGTTGCATACTCTACCTCAGATTCAAGTCCTAGACATGAGCTCCAACAGGCTCATTGGCTCTATAACAGACTCAAAAGCAGAACACAGCCTTTTTTCCATGCTGCAGATCCTCGACCTCTCAGGTAACAATTTCAGAGGAAAGATACCAGCAACATACATAAGAAGTTTTCGAGCAATGATGAATATCAGTGTGTACAGTGGGAGCAGTAGTCCTAAGTACATGAGGGCGCCAGTGAGCAACTCACTTCGCGATGGATATAATTACTCCATTGTACTGTCATTTAATGGTGTAGATAGAAGATATGAGAAGATCATCACCACACTCGAGACTCTTGATCTGTCAAACAATGATTTCAGTGGTGAGATTCCTGACTGTATTGGCCAACTGGTCTCAATACACGGTCTCAACCTCTCACATAACCGCCTTATAGGGCACCTCCCTTCATCATTAGGAAACTTGAAGCTGCTCAACTCAATGGACCTTTCTGACAACATGTTCACAGGAAAAATCCCTGAAGAGTTTGGAAGTTTAACATTTTTAGGAGTCTTCAATGTGTCAGACAACCAGCTGGTGGGACCAATTCCTCATGTAAACAACTTCAATACATTTTCAGAGGATTCCTACAGGGGAAACCTTGGGTTATATGGATTCCCACTGTCAAATCGCGGGGGAGATGAACTGTTAAAACCCGAAGAAGATGAGTCTGACGACAGTAATGAAGACGACTTCAGAGATGAAGGAGGCTTGTTATCAGAATGGGAAATCATACTGATGGGGTATGGCTGTGGTACATTTGTAGGGATGGCATGGGGATACTATATGCTGTCAATCGGAAAGCCGTTTTGGCTAGCCAAGCTAGTTTTCATGATGGAGCTTGCTGCATTACAGTTTTCTGAAAGACATTTTGGCAGAAGAAGAAGAAGTGTGCCAAGGAGGAACTAAATGATCAGATAAAATTGTACTTGGTAGGATAAATGGACTGGTTTTTCTCTTTACTTTCTTGTTCCTGTAGTAGATTGATCATTTCTTGTAATTTCTTGTAATATGTGAGTTTAAAAGATTCAATCTAATGTTTTAACATGTAGTTAATATAAAGTTCAAGCTTTCTAATGTTTTAATGTTTTCTGATAACAGAGGGACTTCCAAATCAAAAATTTAACCAGCATACTAATTCAGCAAATCATTCTGAGGTACAGTAAATATAAAATCATGCTCAAAATTTAACGAGATTTAACCATTAAAATTAAATGTGACCTTATGTGAAGGCGAACAATTCATTTATCCTCGTCTTTTGCGCTAACGATACTTTTTTTTTTTCTGATGCAGGCTAGTCATAGCGCTAACCACTTTGCCAATGCAAGGCTTGCAACAGCAAGCTCTCTAGGAGACACCATCCTCCTAATAACAGCCTTATGCTTCCACTCAGTATTTGAAGGCATAGCAATCGGAGTATCCGAAACCAAAGCAGATGCTTGGAAAGCCCTTTGGACAATCTCTCTACACAAAATCTTTGCTGCCATCGCAATGGCAATAGCCCTCCTTCGTATGATCCCTGACAGACCTTTATTGTCCTGTGCTTCATACGCGTTTGCATTTGCCATCTCGAGTCCTATTGGAGTTGCGATAGGGATCATCATCGATCAGACAGCCCAGGGCGCGGTTGCTGATTGGATCTTTGCTATATCCATGGGGATTGCTTGTGGGGTGTTTGTGTATGTTTCAATCAACCATTTGTTAGCTAAGGGTTATACTCCTTGTAACAAAGTTGAGGGTAACACTCCATTATATAGGTTTTTGGCTGTTGTTTTGGGAGTTGGAGTGATTGTTGTGGTTATGATTTGGGATACTTGATAGTGCTACTTGAGACTGAATTTTTTGTTGTTTTAGAGTTTGTATTTACATTCTTAGAGCATTTAACATTTTTGTTCTTACAAGAACATACAATTGCAAATATTTGACACACAATCTTTTACGTCTAAATTATTGTGTCCAGATAGAATCATATACTCCCTCCTATTCGGAATTGATAATCACTTGCATGACAAATGCACAAAGCCTTTGGATAGAATAGACAAAGTAAACACCGCGCCTACTCTATACGGAATACTATGGAAACCCGCATGATTCAAACAATGTGTAGAAATTAAATGTACTTTTATAGTTGTATACAATAAACTACACATCAAAGTTTTACTACTTGAGCTAAGCTAACATCCACTTTTGAACTAGGACAAGCCACCAACATCTATCACTATTATCATAGTCATTTTCCTACCAATTTGTTCTTTAAAATTATCATTAAATCATCAGAATTGAATGCAAGTATGCAAATAAAAGTTGTCACTTGCAAGTTAAGAATAGATGAAGAAGAATGATGTTGCCAAAGTTTCAGATTCATTAACTTAATAGTTATCTCCATCAACTTTCAGTCAATATAAACTAATTATTCCAACGTGTAAACTAATTGCTGTCAACTTAAACAATTTGCAATGCTGTCAAATTTACCTTCAAATTCACTCAGACACTGGAGAATATATTCTACATGACTCACTAAACTGTCATTTATTTTACCTACAGTAAATCAAGGCAATCAATGAAATATTATATCCTCCCCCTTGCCCCTTTATAACAGATTAACACTGCAAATTCAAAAACTTGCAGTCTCGCAACGACAACTAACAAAGACTTCAGGTTAGTTGAAAACTAGCAAGTCAAACTTGGTTCAAGTAGGAACTGATTTCAGCATTCTGGCTTATGTCTGTGCACCCTCTTATCGAACAAGAATTGCTTCATTCAACAGGAATTGCAGATATAAACCAGAGGAGTGTACTTAATCAGTTACCTATAAACAATTACTAGTAGGAAACTTCCAAGCACTTCCGTTTTGCTGAACTTGATATTAGAAACGTACCACAAAAACGAGACAATAATTGACCAAAAGGAATGTTGCTGCTGCTGCTAAGGTTTTATGATTACAGATACAATCAACATGAGCACAATATCAGGAAAATCTCCCTAATGAGTTTTGACTTTCTAGACTATAAATCATTATATGAAAGAAAAGGGCTCTGCAGCTGTTAGGATCTATTGAAAAGAAGTCTTTATTCAGGAGATTAAGAAGAGAAAAAGAGAAGAAAAAAAAAAATCTGAAATTGATAGAGTTGAAGTCCGTTATGAATTGATGTTCTGGAGCCTCAGAGCAACTAACCTTGAGGCTGATGACTGCTATACTGCAAAATTAAGCAATGCTAGTATACAAAATCTGGTCCTAAGGCACATAAGATAGTGTGTCAAGATGAGCAGTATCCATAGAAATCTACACTGCCGGAGAAAGAAGCTTGTCGAAACACAATGCTACAACTACTGGACCCGCCATATCTCCAGCAGCACAACCTGTGAGATCACATGGAAAGTAAGGATGACGGCACACTGTAATGGAAAACTTACATAGAGGGGGCACAGTGGAGTAGAAAATAAAAATCCTATTGAAATTTGGCTATATATAAAGAGCTCCAAACTGAAATAACATCTAGCTGAGGGGTTTGTGGTAGTATTGAAGTTCTTACCAAGCCATTGACCAGATTTAGGATGTATGTCACGTGTCAATGACGCACCAAGGCCTGCCCCGATGGCAGCAAAGATCAATGACGCAGTGCATTTGAGGGATACAGCATATATCTTCCGACCAAGAAGCTGAAGTTCCTCTGTTGTATTAACTTCTTCTATATCATCCTTAGAATACCAAAATAGACGCAAGATGGTTTTGTATACATCGTATCCAACTTGAAAAATCCAAGATGCTGCCACTCCTAGACAGTGAGCTGCTCCAATGGGAAAATAAAAATTCACCCCCAAGCAAGAATCAAGCAGAGATAAAGTCAGAATTGAAATCTCAAAAAGGTAAGTAAGAGGGAAACTTTATAATCAAAGAATCACCTCTGGCAGTTGTTCTAGTAACAGCACACATGTAAGAAGTTATTGGCAGTCCTCGCTCTGCCTTACGCACAGCAGATTTAGAAGCATCTACAGACAAATGGCAACGCAATATATAAATTGGTGTCAATAAATGTTCATTTTTTCCCTGCTTATATATATACAGCATGGTGCAAATAGCAAAGGTAAAGTGGAAAATTAGATTAGCTAAGTATACAGCATACCTTTGATAAGCTTCCATGCCATCCGTTGGGAGAAATAAGAGACGGCTAGTCTTTCCAACACCCTCCTTGTAGTAATGACAGTACTCTGAGATTTAGGGAAAAACGGACAGTCTCAGTGCAAAACAAAGAACCACTTTATTACAATATGACTATACAAGGAAAGCACACACTTTATCACAACATGAATATGCAACGAAAAGGGCAAAGACTCTTCTTTCATTTTTGAGTGATTGGTACAATTTGTGAAAAAAGAAGTTTAAGTACCATCACAGAGCAAGACGGAGACAGAAAGATTGAAGCTAAAAACTTGCAAGAAAGATATGCTAGTGACTTACACAACAAAGCATTAGTCCTAAAATGATTTGGGTATGCTAAAGAGGCTCAAAGCTAGAAGAGCGGGAGGTAACCAGAAGAGAGAGCAATAAAAGCTACATTAGTTCTTTATTTCTTTGGGACAATAAATATGAATAGGGAGATATGTTATCAGTGGGAATTAAACATAGGGAGAATTAATAGAAAGAGAAAAATGTTCATGTAAAAGGAGAAGTACTAATTCGATTGGCTTAACTAGAACCTGAACTGCAAAGAACCATTGTAATCTCAACATACTTATCATATCAAGATTGAAACTCTCTCCTAATATACGGAGATTAGCAATCATAAACTGCAAAACTCGATGCAAGGCCTCAAAAAGTTCTATTAGATCAAAATTTCAATAATGGTACTTTGGCTCACTTCTGACAGCCTGCCAATTGAGAGACACCCTTAATTATCAAATCTAGCTAACCTATCCTTTATACAAGAAATATATCATGATTCATAGATAATTACGGCAGATAAATGAAGCAATTTATTGAGAAGGTAAGCAGACTAAGTAGAAAACCTTGCAGTTATTTGGCTATAATTAAAAACCAATTTCACATCAGACAACTGAAACCTATGTATATTGGATATTATCAAATACATAGAGACAAAGGTTGCCCACAAAATAACATAAGCACGTACACATTGGATATAATCACAGTACAAGAGAAAGTAGCTAGATCTCACATAAATTACTATTCAATGGCCTAAAGTTGTATTTGACAAAAAAAGAAGACATTGTTAAATATGGAATAGTAAAATACAACAAACCTCGCGAAAAGTTTGCCTGACTGCCTTGTGGAAGGGAGTAATCAAGTCTACATGCCTCTCTTCTGAATTATCAGCAAGGAAATCTTCATCATCATCCTCCAATGCCGCACGAGGCTCCAAAAGTGGTAAATAAAACATTAAAAATGATCTCAAGGCTGTAAGCGCAAATGTACTTGGATGAAAGGCTGAGAAAAGTGATTTTAGTTCATAGTTATAGACTTTTCCAGAGTATGATAGGGATTCAGGCTCAAAAGTATATCTAGAAGCGTCATTATCCTTGGAAACATGCTCATCATAAGCCTCAGTGATGTGATCCACATCCCATGTTGTACCAGCATCACAATAAGCAATTCTGTTATTGCTGTAGACCATTATATAAAGTTCATTAGGTGAACAAAGAACCTATAAATAATACATCAAATCCCAATCCCTAAAAAATAAATAGCCAAGTATTAATCCCAAACCAGAAGCTATTTATCTTAGGAAAACTGCTTTTAATTGTACCACAAATGAAAGTGTATAAATTCGACAATAAAATGAAACAGAACAAAGACTGAAACATAGTATTGTTTTGTTAGAAAGGTCAATTATGGCAAGGCATCAAAATTTTCAAGACTTGGACGCAATAGCCTCTTAAATTTGTCCAACAGAAATCAAGAACCAAATCATTGACAGCTACGCCGTTTAAAGCTTCTTTCTTTCCAACTATTTTGTAACCAGTATATCACCATTCAATAAAAACTCTTCAGCTCAAAAATACAAAGCAGTAGACACTATACATGAGATAATAATAACACAGCAGTATAATCAAATCCTCTACTAAATACTGAGGTTCTATTGCACTACGGCTAACAGTCACATGCCCACTATGATTGACAGATACAAATGCAGCTTGAAGATGAATTTTAGAAAACGGCTTAGTAAGAGTGTAAACACCCAATGTGCAGAATAGTTCATGTATCCGACCTCGCCTTACAATTTCAAAAGATCTCTAAAGTAGGAGTACACATAACAGTTCAATTTAGTTCAGTTACTTACAATCAAACCAATGAGAAAGATTACAACTTTATAGCTCGTATAGTAGGAATACACTGATATAACCCACTATCCATATTCTTTAACAGAAAAGGCTCGAATTTACTCGAAGACGGACATCGCTAATCAAAGTCTACAATCAAACAACCCCATAAACATAAGGGAGGCAGGAATATATGAAAATCTTCATCCACACTGCTTACAAATAACCAATTTACTCGTTTACTCTATTCAATTGACAATGTTCCAACCATATTATATCAATTAATATGCATATTAATATTAAAATCAAGACATACCAACATCAATTAACCAAAACCCCATTCCAAAGTATATAAAACAACATCAATTAACCAAAAACCCATTATACGATCTCAATTTTTTATAATATTAAACTACAATTAGGAAAAAAAAAATAAAAATTACCTTCCAAGAAAAGCCTTAAACCCAAAAGGGTAAGAGGCAAGAACAGAAGCGGCAGCGCCAGAGACTGCAGCTTTAGCAGATAATGAACCAGCTGAATGCAAAGTATGTGTTGAATAAAAGTTGGGATTTTTCCTCATCAGATCTAATATTAGAGCAATTCCTGACATTTTTCAATGATTTTTATAAACCCCCTTTGTTAAATTTGATCTCAAACCCCAGAAAACAAAAATACCCAATTCAATCAACTCTTTTTCACTCAAATCAATTCAATAAATCCCACAAAAAAAATTGAGGATAATTAAATAAAGATTGAAACTTTGGCCCTTTGGGCACTTATTTTTTCCTTTTTTGTTTTTTTTATTTTTTATTTTTATTGTATTGATTGGTTTTAAAAGAATTATATCATGAAGAAGAAGTTAAGGTGTAGAGAACTAGAGCAGTGAGTTGGGGGGGAGAGAGAAAAAGGTCGTTGGAATTTGTAATAAGTTTTGGGTTTGAGGGTTTTAACTAGAAAGATTAGCTTAAGCTTAAATTAAGGCTTGAGCTTTAAATCTTTAATCCTAGTAGACTTCTGACCAATCTAGCTTTTAAAGTTGAACACTTGAACTGCTCTTATTGTCGGTTTCTTGTTCGTCTTAATTCTTAAGTTTCCTCTATAATGAAAATCATTAAAGTGATTAGTGATTGATTATCTAATAATCATGGGAGATTAAAGTATTAAACAAACCCTCTATTAAGGAGTTTTTGAGTTAAACCTAAATAGATTATAATTAAATAGATACTCCGTATGTTATGATATTATTCAGATTTCATTAAAAAAAAAAAAAAATTAGGAACCTATACATATTGTTATTAAATTATTAGCATATTTATATATTTTTTTTAAATTTTCTCTAATGTAATTTGATTTAATTACTAAAATATATTAATCTCAAACGGTGCTTTTTCTGTGTGGTTGGCCACACCATGTGGCCGAAATTACATATTCAGGAGTTACTTATTTAGTTGTTACTCAGTCGGTCAAGGGTTACTTATTATGGGGTTATTCAGTCAGTTAGTCTGTTTTCACCGGGGTTACTTATTAAGGGTTACTCAGTCGATTAAGGGTTACTGATTTTCGAGTTACTCAGTCAGTTAGCATGTTTTTTGTGTGAGAGTAACCCCTAACCGATCGAGTAACCCCTGATCGACTGAGTAATCCCTGAATAAGTAACTCATGACCGACCGAGTAATCGTTGAATAAGTAATACCGGGCATACGGTGTAGCCAGCTACATATAAAATTTGTGAATCTCAAAAATTAAGCTTTTCACCAATTAATAATATAAGGTTGAGTGAGATTTTACACAATTTGAAATGGATCACGAATAGGTTTATCAACAAATATGAGTGGGTTGTTTGTAAGTCTAAACAATAAACAAACCATGGAAATTTTGCTAGCAGATTATGTTATTAGCTTTTTTTTTCCATATAATATATGTGTGTGTTGTTTCCTTAAAGTATATTTTACGCATCTAATTCCTTTTACCTTAACTCTTTAAGGCATATAACTTCTTATACGCTCAAATTAGTTAATAGGGATGATTCAAATTAATTCACAATTAAACTAAGTATAGATGAGTTCATTACGTGAACCATAAACTAACATAAGTTAGGTTCATGGATAATTAACATCGAAGTAAGATGGTTTTGAAAAGTCAAATATTAGTGGATCAAGTTCATGCAATTCCAATTTTTAAAATATCATGTTGAACTTTATAGGTGAAATTCAATTTATAATAAAACTCTTGAATTTCGATGGAATAATTAAAAAAATTAAAATGATTGCATAATTGAGTATTGCTTTCAGTTTTTTACTTTAAATTTAAATTCATAAGCAAAATTAGTTCGGATCAGGAAAAAAAAAAATACACGTACAAGTGTATAACCTCAAATCTCAATTCAAATCTTCAAAGTAGTACGTACACTGTACACAGACACAAGGTACACAACTCAAATTCTGCATTAGACTTTTGTGCATTTTATTCAAACTATTGCCGCCCACAATTCTTACCAATTCTAACTCAATTGAATTCTTCCAGGAAAATCAATATGAACCCTAATTCCATCAAACGATTCAAACCCAAATTATCGAATTAATCTTCGAATCTAAAATCCAAAGATAATTAATTTGGGGTTTCCGGAAAAGGGGAAATTAGGGTTCATAATTTACACTCAAATTCCAGAAAATGCAATTAGGTGATCTTAACAAAGTTTGGGAAATTAGAGCTTTGAAAAGAAAGCCGCGACAAGATGAAGCAAAGCAAATTCTTGAGCGCATTGCTAAACAGGTTCAACCAATTATGCGCAAACATAATTGGCGGGTTAAAGTTCTCTCTGAAATGTAGTATGTCTCCCGCCTTTTTTGATTTTTTTTCTTTTTTTTTTTTTCCTGATTTTTACATTCTTTTTGTTTAGTGTAAGTGTGAATTTTGTTGTTAAAAATTCCAAATTTGTTGGTTTTTGAAGGATTGGAGCTAATATTTCTGTTTTTTTTCATGTTCAATTTAAAGTGGTTCCTAAATACCTATGTTCATATTGTTGATTGTTGAAGAATGGTTGTGTTTTTAGGTGATGTTATTTGAACTTTCGATTTTCTTTCGAGTTTGATAGTATGTGGTAGGAAAGTGTAGATGGTTGTTAGGTGATTGTGGCATGATTTTAAATTTTGTTGGTTTTTGTTTTGTTGCTGCATTGCTGTTCTTGATGTATAGACAATGGGCTCTTTATAATTGAATTGTAGCTTGTAGATCATGTACATTTTATAGCACTCTTGAGCTTTGTCCCCACTGCTGAACCTCGCGCCATTGTACCTAGGTTCGAGAAAAAACGAATTGTGCAGTTGAGTATACAGGATGAAACCTTTCAGGTTTCTAGCACCCTATTGTTTTTTCTGTTATGTTATACTAGGGACAAGCATGGGTTCCTTGGATTGAGTAGAAATCTGAGTATTGCAGCACATACACACGCATACAATGTTTATTTTTCAGATCTTTGGGGTTTGCCTGGATGTTTAATTTCTATATTGCATCTCATCGACTTAATAGAAATTCACTTGCTGGCCTTGCAGTCCCAAGAGGAATGAACTTCTTGGATTGAATGTTAATCGTGGGGTAGAAGTGAAGTTGAGGCTTCGGAGGCCTGGCAGGGAGTTAGAGTTTTACTCATTTCATGAAGTGTTGGATACAATGCTTCATGAGCTTTGCCATAATGCCCATGGCCCTCATAATGCGAGTTTCTATCAGCTATGGGATCAGCTTAGAAAGGTCAGCATCAAGTTTCATACATAGTTTTAGTTATGTGACAGTCTCTATGAGCTTATGAAGTGGAAGCGTTTGATTTGAATGTGTGAGCTGACTATAAAGTAACATTTTACTTTCTAGAAACCCTAGTTCATACAACATGAGTTTATTAAATGTTATATAAAATTTTAAATTCAAATATATGGCTGGACCATAACAAATCAAGGTTCTTTTTGGGCATCAAAATCTGTTCGTTTAAATAATATTTGCTCTCTGCTTAGTTACCAGATATTCATCAAAGGAATTGCCGATCCCCTTAGGGTAGTTAAACTCATGAGTTGTTACTTGGGGACTCTTCAATACATTTTTCATCTGTGTATTTTGTGCAGAATGGTTTTACTTAGTTTACCCAAGGCTGTAAAATAAGCCATTACATATTTACATAAGCAGGTTTTGTAGTTACTTTTCCTCGTCATTTACTTTTTCCCCAACAAACGCAGGAATGTGAGGAATTGATGTCCAAGGGAATATCTGGCACAGGAGAAGGCTTTGATCTTCCTGGAAAACGTTTAGGTGGGTTCTCTCGTCAGCCACCTCTAGCTTCCCTCCACGAAACGACCCTGGCTGCTGCTGAAAACAGAAAACGTCTCAATTCCCTTCTACCATCTGGACCTTTACGGCTTGGTGGTGATAAAAACATAATGTCTTCGTTAAGCCCTGTTCAAGCTGCTGCCATGGCAGCTGAAAGGAGACTACAGGATGAAATATGGTGCGCTTCCGTTTCTGGTGGCTTTGCTGAAGATTTGGGGGATTCTGATCTCTTGGAAACAGTAGTGCCCTGTGGGCCAGCTGCTGCTAGTGCCAGTTCAAATGCCTCTGATATTAACAATGTACATTCTGGAGCTGCAGCATCTTGTAACAGGTCTCAGAATAATGTTACAAATCTCATTGATTTAAGCAACAATGTAAATTCTACCTCAATTGATGTTCGTGGCACCAAATTAAGTAAAAGATCCATTTGTTCCCATGTCAGTTCATCTGCTAGTGCCAGTTCAAATTCTAATAATGTCTCTGGAGCTGCAGCATCTCGGAAAAGGTCTTGGAATGGTGATATTACCAATCTCATTGATTTAAGCAACAATGAAAATTCTGCCTCAGTTGATGCTTGTGGCATTAAATTAAATAAAGGATCCATTGGCTCCAATGCCAGTTCATCATCTTTATCCATGAGCGTCTCATCCTCTGGGTTAACTAATCTTGATGCGGAGAACACACATGGAGAGTCTGCCACATGGACTTGTGAAACATGCACCCTGTTGAATCCTGTGAGTTACCCTTTAGTAATTTATGTGTATTTTTCTGATATCTTGCATTTTGTTAAATGGCACTCTGCATCAAAATTTTGCTTTAGTTTATCCATTGTTTGATTATCTACTTACACAACCAGAATGTTTTTGTTTTTGTTTTATTTTTTTTTTTTCCATTCACGTCATTGGTTAGTATGATCACATTAAGCATAAACACTATGTTTCGTAATTTACATCATTGGATGAACAATATTTGTAGCAGGTTAAGGGCAAAATTGATCAATTTTTAGCCTAGGGTTTTTGTTTTTTTTACAATTTTCTTAATATATAATGAAACTTCAGCATGCAAACATCATGGAGATGGAGGTGGTATATTGTACTCGGTATTCATTAATGTTAATCATGAAAATTTTGCAGCCACTGGCTCTCGTATGTGAGGCATGTGAAACCCTGAAGCCGAAAGATATATCAGTGAAGTATAAATTCTGGTCCTGTAAATTCTGTACCTTGGAGAATTGCGTGAAACTGGAGAAATGTTCAGCATGTGGTGAATGGAGATACTCACGAGGTCCTCCGTTGTCATCATTGCCTCCTAATCTCGGCACTTGACAAGAACAGTTGAAGTTAGCTTGTTTTGGAAGTATGTAAATCTCTCAGTTGCTATATTTCTGCCAATGCATGCTTATGCATATTTGACTTGGTTTATTTATGAGATGGTCTTTTAGGGCTCCTGTTGATTCAAAGATGCTGCTGAAAAGCTACGAGAAAGATAGTGAATATTTTTGGTACTTATTTGTAAATTGGGCTTCGTTAAGTCTCATATTGGTCGACTAATTGTAGAACTAATTTCTACATAATTTTGATACTCGCTCCCCAAGAGATGCTGAAGCTGTAAAGATGACATTCATTGTGCCTATTTTTGTTAATTTTTTTCAATCAAGGAGAAAGAATATGTGATTTTCTACCTAGTAAATGAACTTTTCGTTTTCCCAACTATTTTTTGGCTAGTAGTTTTTAACCCGTCTACAACAGCTTTTGGAGGATTTGGCTCCTTGCACATTAGATTCACAAATTTCAAATTTAATCCACTACTTGTCACAACATTAGTTGGATTGATTACAGATTTTGTTTGGATAATTGGATGACGTCTAAATACACAGCAAGTACAAATTCCAAGTTAAAACTTTGGGTAATATTTTTTTTTTTGGTTGTAGACGGGATTTGATCTTATTCATAAATCATTGAGATTAACTGATATTTATAACATTTGCAAGCAGAGGAAATTGACCATGTAGCAAAAATACTTCTTTAGCAAGTAGCTACTATTCAAACAGGAGCCCTTATCGTACAGAAAAATGTACCAAAGTGCATCTGAACTGAACCTTTTGGTGGCAACACTTCCCCTATTTTCATTGAACTAGCAGTTTTTACAGGAATATAAGCAATTATACAGCTTGCATATTTTTTTGGTGGAAAATAAAGCTTACAAACGCTGGAAAAATTAACAAAGCTAACTTAATTCTGCAAATTTTTAACACAAAAAAATCCATCGAGACAGGCTTTTTGATCTTCATCTGCAACCACTGAAATCTAGCAATTTTTACAGGTCCTGGAAAAAGAAAACAATGTCAGTCTGGTACATGAACATATAACGGCAAACTTTGTAGCAAGATAAAAGTTATTCAAGCCATCATGATTATATATCTAGTTCCAACTCAAATCGTATTAAGCCATCAAAATCATGGCTGTCATATATAAATCTAGAGTCCCTTAAACATATGCGTATTTTGAATGGTCGTTTGATCTTCCAAGTTCCTCCAGCAATCAAAGTTTAATAAGGTGATAGTTTAATGTTAAACTAGTTTTGAGTCATTCAGTCCGAAAAGTAGACTGATGACTTGAGCAGTCTAATACAATAAGTAGACCTTGAGAGTTCTTACCCAAGATCTTCAGAGCTTAACTTCCACATCGACACCTGCAGGGAGATCAAGTTGCATCAACGAGTCAATTGTCTGGGCAGTTGGGTACAATATGTCAATAAGGCGCTGATGAGTTCGGATTTCAAAGTGGAATCGGGCATCCTTGTGCACATGGGGTGATTTGAGTACACAATATATCCTCTTCTTTGTTGGTAATGGTACAGGCCCCATTGTTTTTGCATTTGTCGTCCTTGCAGCATCCATTATCTGCTTGCAGGAGTCTTCTATCAAGGGGACCCAGTAGGACCTCAGCTTAATTCTTATCTTCTGCTTTGGAGCCATCTGAAATTACACATAAACTTACCTTAAGCAAAGATTTCAGTTTAAACCAGTCAAATATAAGGAAAAGATATTTACGATGTCTAGAGTCTCCCAGGCTTCAGGGTGTTACTTGGATCTTAAAAAAGTAATTGTGTCAACACTAAACACTAAATTTGTTAAATTCATTTTTCCAAGCTGAAAGCATGTCAGAAAATTGGAGTGCAAGAAAAAAGTTCTTGATGAAGAAAGTGTGATCGTCTCAAAAGCGATTTCAGACACTTCAGAGAGGGATTTGCAATAAAAAACACTTTTGATAAGCTTTCAATGTCAGTTTATAAATCAGCTAGGAAGTGAGATACTTAGATGGGGTTGGATAGAAGATAGCCAAAACTGCAAAAGGGCTTACAACTGTTAAAACGTTTATGGCAAACATTAGATGAGCTATGTTAGAAGTTGTGCTTGAATTGCATCTATTGGTGATGTATGGAAGGTACAGGCATATAGCATGAACTAACAAGGTATTGTCTGATCGTCAGAATGTTTGAACAATACAGAGACTGTGCTTATAGAAGAGTGAGCTCAATTAGGCAAAGAAGAAAGCAAGGGAACTATACGTAGAAGACCTGCTTAAGTTGCATCTGTCTATGAAGTATGAAGGGAAGGGCATGGTAGGAAAAAAAAAGAGCCAGAAAAATGGATGCAATCATGAACGAGAGTATGTTTCAACTCTCAAGCAGGATCAACATCAAATTTGATGGTGAAATCAATTGTAATCTAGTCTAATCTTCCATGGGTTTGTTCCTGATTATTGTTTGTTGCAATAGAATTAAGCTGCTTTCATTGAAAAGAGCTTAGAGGTATTTGTAATTCATTCGTGTCTTTGAAGTTTGTATTTCTCTGTCCTTTTCTTCTAAGGACTTCAGACTTGGGATAGGGGTTGCTCTGATTTTAATGTCTTTGGAGGGTGGTAAACCACCATCCGTATATGAACGAAATCAAATCATTGCAGAATAATACAAAACAAATGCTAGTCATTCAGAATTTGTGCCCCCCCCCCCCAACCCCCTCCTATCCACAGAAGAAAAGGAAAAAGATTCAGGGTTAGAGATGAACAAAGCAACTCAAAGCTGTATTTCCTGCTATAGCAGTGTAGTCTTGCAACATTATCTTCTCTGTTCAATGATCTATACTCAGCGCAACAAAAGGACTCTTGATGAGAGAACTACTTACGAACCATGGCTTGTGTGAATATTGAAAATCAGCTTTTGACTGTCATCCCAATTTACAATTCATCTTCACTATCTAAGCATAGAGGATGACTCTAGACACAGCGATGAAGAGGTTCACAACTTTCAATGACATGTAGGTTCAACAAGGAAAGGCAGGCAAAATTAAATTTCATAGTGATGCATTAGATTATCACATCTATATAAGACTATAATGCTAGAAAACATAAAGGTCTTAAGTTTGTAGTCTATATACACTCAAGATACTTATACAACCTGGAAACATGGTTGACTCCAGAAACTTGTTCCAAGCACCCTTACAGTGAAAGTGACAAGACATAAGAAAAAAGAGCTTAACTATGGAACATCGATGGCAAATTTTTGCGTGGGTTTAAGCTTTATACACTAGCTATCTTTAAGTTATTCAACATGAAATTTTCGAAATAATTTAACTCTGTAGCATCAGGAATAGCAACCAAGGGAAGAAAAGCTCAATACCTGATCAGAGTCAGTACCAATGCTGAGAGTGGAAGTCTCAGAACCATCCTACACAACAGAATAAAACAACCATAAGGAAAGAAGAAACAAACTATTACCTTCATCTTTGACAAAAACAACATAATCTATCATAATGTCACACCTTACACAAGCACACCAGCAAAAAAACACAAATCTTGTTACTCTCAATTCTCATTGCACCCCGACACCAAAATACTAGAACACACATGCCCGCGCACACATACACACATCAACAGGAGACTGCTGCAGTGTAAATGACCCACTTAAGATGCACTTATATCACAATTACATTCCACAACAAGCACATTATTCCAAGACATATTCCTCTTAAGCTAACGAATAAAACCAGGAATTCAAAGGGATTTTTTTTTTCCACACTATAACTATGCACATAACATATAAATTTAACTTCATTTCATATTAAAACTTAGCAAAAATTTCTCAACTACAAGCTCACAAGTAAAACCAAGAAGCACTATATAGCAAATTTCAGAACATCAGAGCAAATTAATGATTTAATTATCTAAAATCAAAATTATTATATACACATTTCACCAAAACAAACAATTTACAAAATTATGATTTTCTCATCTCAAAATTCAGCACAAATTACTCATTATATACCAAATTTAAGAATATCTAAACAAAGCAATGACTCAATTATCCAAAAATAACAAAATTATCAAATACCCATTTCACCAAAATATGCAAATTACACAATTAAGAAATACCCATCTCAAAATTCAGCACAAATTACTCACTACAAGTTCAAAACCAAGAAACTAACACAAATAATACAATAAATCCCTATATTAAACCAGAAAATCAGACCTGAAATGAATCTGGGGAAGTTTCGACAGCCTCCAAAGTTTCAGGAGCAGCAAAAGTAGTGAAATTAGAGGAGTTGGAGAAGGTGGATGATTGTTGAGTAAGAGTTAGGGTTCTTCTGAGGTTTAAGAGAGAAGGAGAGGTAAAGTCAAGTTTGGTTGAAGAAGAAGATGTATTACGAATTGTAAGAGGAGAAAATAAAGCAGCTGAAATCGAAGAAGTCGCCATTGTTGTCACCCAAACACGCCTCTATCTCTTCTCTTCTCTTCTCTCCTCCCTTAGCCTAGTGGTTTGGTTTTACAGGGTTATGTTATCCGAAAACTTTCTTTTCTTTTTCTTTTTTATTATTTTTTTCCAATTGTTTTGAAAGGATTATTTTTTTAAAAAAAAAAAAATTACATCCTCCGTTCTTTTACAGTTGACCCGCTTTGACTTTTACAAGAAAAATATATACATGCAAGATTTTTTTGAATTTGTCTCAATGAGTACTATCATAATGTATAACTTTTTTAATTTTTACTTATGAAGAATTAAACTTATTAATCGTTAAAGTTTTGCATTGACAAGCGTGATAAAATAAACAAGTCAAGTAAAAAAAACAGAGGAAGTATTTATTAGACTTTTGCTTATTTGGCGGTCTGTAATCTTTACAAACCGCTACTATTAGCCTATGGTCATTTTACAGGCTACGAAGTACAAACACATTTCAGGCAACAATCTAGTGATTATAATGACTTTTTTTTTTCTTGGATAGATGAAGCATTTTAGCAAATAACCATATTAAACGTTGTTGTGATGTATAAGAGTGGGCCACATAACTTTGGTGTCTGATTATGTAAAGGGCTTCTTAGCATGAAAGTATGGAAGTGTATGAATGTAAAGTAGTCTAGTTGGTAATAAAATAAGCGAAGGAATGCCTAAGAATGAGTAATGTTTGCGTCAAACATTGCATATTGTTAGATTATTGTAGAAATATAGGCGAGATTCAATTTCAGCTCATACTTTAACCGATTGAAGTAGTTGGTGTCCTCCATTTGTGATTCATATGCAATGAAGAGTAATATTACATTTCAATGATGTAATATGGAGAGTCAAGCATTTAAAAACTAATTAATTTAACTAGTTTATTAAATTGTTTAAATCAACTTCTTGACATAAAAGAGAATACTTATAATCTATTCTCTTAATGATGAGTAACTTATCTATATATCGTGAATTAAAGGACATAAAAGAGGATATCTTCCAAAAAAAAAAAAAATCATCCTATAATTTCTATAGTTGTTCATAGAACAATATACTCCATATCCTTTATGAGACCTTAAGTCAGTTCAATCAAATTTCTAAGAGGTTCTCTTACTTCTCTATACTTTAATGTTTTATCAAAATTTTCAAGAGTAAAGAAGATATAGAACAAACCATTAAGCATTGCCATTAAATTGTACTTCATATGAACCAACAAGCTACACAAGTTAGCATGCATCCAGTGCACAGCTATTTTGCCTATTTACTTTAGATGTAACTATGTAACATAACATTTTCAATAAGCTTAAATATTGACTTGTACACAAAACTTTGAAAATGGATTTATTGTAAGTCAAATTATTCTTATGAACAAATAGTAACATTGTCATATTGACATACATCTTCTTTGAACGAGACAATGATGAAGTTTCTTGAGCAAATAGAATTTCTTGGGCGTGACATGCACACATGTGATATGCTTACTGAATTAAAGTATATTCACAAAATCATACTAACGATAAATAAAGTACGTTATACACTCATCATCTCTTATTCAAAAGTTGAATTGTCGAGAGTTTTATTCCTATATAATTCTTATATACATCTTTCTCTTTTTCTATCAATTAAGGCGTTGAGAGTTTGATTCTTATAGAAAACTGATTTCCTCTTTCAAACACCCACACTAAGTAGACTCTACATAAACCAATCCAATATACACACATTCTTTATTTTTTCGAAATTGTTATTAGAGTTTAAGACTATATGTAGAAGTCTAGGTTGTAAATGCATTGAAGGTGTGATTTTATACAAACATTTTTAGATACTTAAAACCCACATTAATGGCAAGTACAACGGCATAGTGCTTGCTCAAATAGAAAATTTTCATTTTTCCCATGACTCTTTGCCTCACTTCATTATTTTATAGGCTCTTACAATATGAATGAAACAGTAAAAAAAAATCAGCAAAAACATTAATATTAACTATTTAAGGCAGTTATTTTAACTCCTTCTAGCTTCCTCTTTAATAACTACCCCATTAAAATTCACTCATAAAAATATTTTTTTGAGGGAAAGGAAATAACCATAATTAAACTTTAAATTATTTATTAAAAATTAAAATCAAGAACATGTAACCATTTTCTTTGCTCTCAAGTTTAACCTCACTTTCTTAACTACTCATTCTTTCACTGAACTTTTAGAACAATCTCAAAAAAATGCAAATTCTCAACTCCTCCATTATCACTACAATTTCATCTTACCCAAAATATAAATTTGGGATTATAATAATTCTAACACTCTTTTTATGACACCCATTTTTCATCAAATTAACACAAAAATAGCAGAAATTAACCAGCATTTACACTCAAAAATTAAATTAGTTTACCACCGAAGTGTCACACAAAGTAGACGCTCCAAGTATTAAATTCTCTCTCCTTTTTCACATTCCCATCAAAACCAACAATACCCACTTCAAATTTCATCAAATCCTTCAATTTTAGCAATTACCCACACAAATCCACATAATTTGAGCTATGTTACTGAGAAAAGTACAGATACTCTGTTTTCTGGGTGTTTTAGTTGAGTTGGGATTTTGTCAAAATTTTACCAGAAGTTTTGCAAGAGATTATAATTATATAACATGGGATGATATTAAGGTTGATGATTATAAATATTTGGTGTCAAACAGTGAGATTAAAGATAAGCTAAATTGGAATAATAGTGGGGTAATTGTGGTTGATCAAAGTGGAAAAACAAGGGATTCATTACTGTTCAAGGTGCTGTTGATTTGATTCCTTCTGGGAATTCTCAGAGAATTAGGATTCTAATTCTTCCTGAAATTTACAGGTATTTTGTAAATTGAAATTTGATGATTTTTGCAGAATTTTGTATGTTCATTATTTTTTTGTGCAATTTTTGTTTCTAGATTTTCTGCGGTTACTGAGTTGGCAGTTCTGGTGTTTTGAGTCGTATTTTTGGAGCTAGTGGGTGTTTACCGCTCGACAGTTACGCTGGACTTTTTTCTTTTTCTTTTTTTTTTTTTTGTAAATTTTTTTTTCTATTTTGTTTTTTTGGAGCGGAAATTTAGGTCGGGTGCTTTTATTGCAAATCATGATTCGCCAAAACAAGATTATTTCGAGGGAATGAGACTATACATGACTAACTCGAGTTTCGAACAACTATGAGTGTTTCATCTTGCTACTAGATGAACCACAAAGTTAGATTTTGCTTCCCCCGCGTTTTTTTTTTTGTGGAAAGGAAAAACTTCGTACCTACTAAGTTCTAACTTGGGAAATATTTTGGGAATTGCTTGTTGAAGTGAACGAGACATTTTGGTTATTGATGGAAGTAGTATGATTTTATATGAATGAAGAAAATTAAACAATATGTATCGATAATTTACTATTCTCCTTTTTTTTTTTTTTTTTGCTACGTACTTTATATCAAATCCCTATCAATAGGAATTAACACAAGGAATCTATATTTCAAGTTAGATTAATACAATGTTTGTTAAAAAAAATTTTGAAGTTATTTTTCTTTTTTTTGTGGAAAAAGTTGATAAGATTGAGACATGTACAAGTATTTGGTAGGAAAATCAATATATTTTGGTACTAGATAAGTAAATATACTTAATTTTGAGTATGATTTTTGTTGTTGAGCAGGGAAAGGGTAGTTGTACCAAGCTCCAAGCCTTACATTTCCTTCATTGGGACAGAAAACCAGACTTCTAATACAGTAATTACTTGGAATAACAAAGCTTCTGATAGAAATAGTAATGGTGCTGAACTTGGAACTTTTGGTTCAGCTACCATCAGCATATTCTCTGATTATTTTTGTGCATCTGAGATTACTTTTGAGGTACCTTCTCATTCTTTTTCTAGTATTAGAGACTGTAACCTTCTCGACGTGTCTTTTGAAAGGGTTGCTCGTCGACAATTGAACACAAGTAACCTTTTTTTTTTTCGCTTACATGATGGGTGCAGAATACAGTAGTGGCAATACCAGGAGGATTGGGGATGCAAGCAGTGGCACTGAGAGTATCAGCTGAAAGGGCAATGTTCTACAAAGTCAATATCCTTGGTGCTCAAGATACTCTCTTAGATGACACAGGATCACACTACTTTTACCACTGCCTCATCCAAGGATCAGTCGATTTCATATTTGGCAATGCAAGATCATTATATCAGGTAACCTGAAAACAAAACATTCCCTCTATCGCGCTTTAAAGACTTTTTGGCCTTTTATGTTCTTCTGATATTGAAGAAATACATACAACAGAATTCAGTTCTTCATTCAATAGCCAATCGATCAGGAGCAATTGCAGCACATCATCGAAATACACCTGAAGAAAATACCGGGTTTTCATTCTTAAACTGTACAATCAATGGAAGCGGATTGATTTACCTGGGAAGAGCCTGGGGGCCATACTCAAGAGCAATATATTCATACTGTGACATTGATGATATTATTGCACCAGAAGGGTGGAGTGACTGGGGTGACCCAGAAAGGCAGAAGTATGTATACTGAACTACGGCTAAAACTTGCATGATATATGAACAAAGATACGAAAAGTTTAACTATACTGATACAAATAATTCTGGTTTTGGCGTTATGTTTTTTAGGACGGCATTGTTTGGTGAATTCGAGTGCAGTGGGAAGGGAGCAAACACAACAAGGCGGGTAAAATGGGCAAAGTCTTTCACTATTGAGGACGCCAGGCCATTTCTCGACATGGAATTTATTGACGGCAATAAATGGTTGAGACTATAGCTAACAGTAACAATCGGATAAAATATGTAGGACTAGTCACTTCAATTGGTTAGCTCTCTATGTAAACATGTACAATACAAAGCATACACAAAATTCTTTCAGTAAAAAACACCAAATTGTTTCCAGCATATTGTCCTAAGATTCATTTTAAAGATTAACAACTCCAGAAAAGTTCATGTCTTCAAAATATAATTAGTCTACTCTCTACGAACCAATGGAAATTTGCAATACACTTAATCACAGTATATTTACAAAAGGTTAACGACTACTTTTGTTAGTAATGCCTTTTGAACTGTTGTTTGGAGTAACCAACAATGGCAAACATTAAGTGGTGGCTGAAAGTTTATTTCACTACGACTTTAGATCATACAAACTAGAAGTTCACCTTAACGTTACAACAGGAAACATAAAATCTAATTCACTTAAAAGGTACTCTATAACAGCTGGAATTTGATCCAAGGCATTTCCTAGGAATTTAACTAAGAAAACCAATTTGGAAGACTCACCTAATTGCTGTACACCTGGGAGTATTGTCTCAAATGCAAGATCAAATGCCATCAACATCACCTCTCGCTCGCTACAGGAAATCTACACTAGTTTGTACAATAACAGTTTGAGGAACAGCTCTAGCCTCTAAGCGACACCTGTGCATTCCAAAACTTCATCAGCCTGAGCAGTAGTTTCCACATCAGCCTGAGCAGCAGTTTCCACATCAGCCTGTGCAGCATTTTCCACATCAGCCTGTGCAGCATTTTCCACTACAGCCTGAGCAGCAGTTTCCACATCAGCCTGTGCAGCAGTTTCCACATCATCGGTACCTGATTCACCCTCCTTACAACCATCATCTTCATCGTCAACAATTTTCTGATCATCAACATCGCAGCACAAATCTTGCAAGCTGACATCATCACTCTTGTCATTGAATGGTTTGGCTGACATTCATTTTGTCATTGACTTGTCTTGCAAGCTGACATCATCACTTTTGTCATTGACATGGTCTTGCAAGCTGACATCATCACTTTTGTCATTGACATGGTGACCAGCATTATGATCATCTTTGTCTGAAGAGGAAATTTGTTCGGCATGGCCAACAGAAGAGGCTGGAGCAGGCAAGTCAACTAAGTTATCCTCATTTTCATTGTCTTTAATTTTGACGGCAGAATCATCAGCAGCATTTTCCTTCCCGAGGATTGAGACTATAGGTTGTGTAGCTTCAGCATTGATATCTGAAAGTATATTAGGATTCGCCTTAACATCAAACCATTCTCCACCCAACCAATCTCGGGAAACTCTGAGATCCTTTCTAAGTACATCTAAATACTTGTTCTCACCTGATAAGATAAAAAAAAAGTAGCATTAGAAAACATAAAATAGGCACATAAACTGATTAACTTAATGCCTGATGACTAAAAGGGGAGAAAAAAGGGACGGCTAGTACCTGGAACATAAACCTGTACTTTATCATTTCTGGCACTGTTAACTACAGTTACAACACCTTCCCACCAGCCATCACTCCACCATGCATCCACAGGAGCTCCAATTCCAAATTCAACATCTACAGCATCGCTGGCATCGCTGATGGGAGGACAAGGCCTGATTGTAGGTCGTCCAGGACATCGCATGCCAAGCTTATCTGGTGCAGCCATCCTAAAAGCTGGAATCCATTCCTGAAATTTATCAAACAGCATAAATCAACAATGTCGACATATATTAGTTGTATCCTCAGAAAAAGTAAAGAACCAACCAACAGTAGCACATTACATATAGACTATACTCCCTCCGATTTTATAAGTGTTACATTTTGACCGGCACATAGTTTTAGGTGAATTAATTGACTTTAATATTATAAGATGTAAGTGGGGTAGTTGGGGTATTAAAAAATTATAAGAAAATGTAGTAGAGTTAATATTGTATTAAAAGTAAGGGATGTGAGAGGGAAAAAAGTACAATAACAAAGTAGTTAGACATATTAGCAAATGCCCCTAATTAGTCCTGGAGTAAGTAAGCTAATGCTATTACTTCATCATGTTAGGACTTCAAAAGGGCAATATGAACTTCAACTATCAAAGAAAAGTTATAGTACTCTGTGAAGTCACGGTCTTGTTGCTAGAGCTCACTCAAAATATATTTTTTAATCCAGCAGCCCATTGAAGCAGTTACACAAGTAAATTTTCATCTCTAGATCACATAAAGATGCTATGCTGAGAAGAAATTCACTAGTTGCCAGAAAAGGAAAGAGATCTCCAACCAAGAGAATCTCACAATCAAAACAAAAATGCATTGCAAGTGATGTAACAGGAAGAACAGATCAACTGAAAGGAATGTAACATGCAACTGGCAAACAGCCCAAGCATTGATTTTATGATAGCCATGGAGTAGTTTATTTGCATAGCACTAAGACCATTACATTGCAATAGAGTATAAGACACCACCAAATAAAATCAAATTTTAATCTAACTCAAACTTTAGCCAAGTGCACCAAACAGGGGTTAATATTTCCAACAGAACTAAATGGCCATTTGAATCTTATAACAGCCAGAAACAATGATCTTCAAGGAGAAAATCATTAAATGTCATTCCAGGCAGTCACTAAGCAACTCATCATGAATCAAATGCAAAAGACATTAATTGAGTACCTCAAGGTTTCCACATCCATCTTGGTCCTCCAGATCCCTATATTGGAGCTTCATCTGCTTTCGAGATATCTCCAAGACAATACATCTAAACCAACAGCCTCGAATGCCACTGTCCTGGCACAGTAGCTCTATTTTGTCATCTACCTTAAAAAACTGGATGTGTGACCGCTGGAATTCCCCATTCTTTAAAGAAAACAACCTCTTATCGCAAGCATCAGTGTTACCATTCTTAGAAAATGGTCCACGCATAAATTTCTTCCTTTCAAAGCCTTCCGCACCATGAGTTGTCAAAAAGCTTTCTCTGTCCCCATAATTCCTAGTTCTCTTAGTCCCTTTTGCTACATTATCATTTGATCCAAACATCTTAACTTTATTCCCAATCACCCCACGGCATACAGAGTCAGAATTCAGAAAGGAATCAGACTCTAAACAAGAAATAATAGGCTGATTATTATAACCCCGCAATTTCCTAAGATCAAATGGTTTAATTTTGTTACTTCTAAACTGACGGCAACAAAGATGTAGCTTTCCCAGCAAACCATCTGGAAGGCCCTCTAAGCATTTTTCAAAATGCTCACGGGTTAAGACTATAGCAGGACCATCAACACACTCAACACTTATCACCTGCGTGTAAGGTGTAATGTAAACTTCCTTCGGGTGAGCATTCCGTATACGAACTATACCCTTCACTTCTTGACTGTGATGAAACCATCTGACTTTAACTTTCTTCATCCCCTTCTTATCTTCGTACATATCCTCTAGATAGGCAACATAACGATTTCCCTCTTTAGCCATCACAAATACAAATGCTTGAACCTGATAGCAGCAAAGTGGAATTCATTAGATTACAATCAAAATAACCCTAATGACTGAAAAGGTTACTTTCATGTGCAAAAGCCATGAAGATGTGAACCCATGACCCTTGCATGTAACTAGTCATTACATGGAACTAAATTTTTCAAAAAGGTAAAGAAATCAAAGTCTGGACGTTTTTTTCTTAATATTCAACAAGGCTCACTTTTCTCTCGTCAACCTAGTATAACACTGTTATGAGTGTTATCAGTTATGTAGTTCCTTAAATGGTTATTTCAGTAGTTTGATACCTTTTGAGGCATAGAGTTGAGTATGACATGCATAGGATACATGGACACTTCATCCAACTGCCATGTCCGTGTCAGACACCGACACTCGTGGGACACACGACGATACGTCTCGGACCGTATCCTACTATGATATGAACTGTTCAACTTTTTTTTAATGAGAAAATTTAAGAAAAATAAGATAAATAAGGTAATTTTTAAATAATATGGGTGCCTTCATATATAGCTCATTGTTAATATGATACAATATGATCTAATGAAATGACGGAATGACAAATATATGGTCAAATTCTTTTTTTTTTTAAATATATTATATGAATTTTAACATCTCGTACCCGTGTCCCTTATTTTGAGATAAACGTTTTCCCGTACCCGTTTCGTACCCGATCCGTGTCAGTACCTGTTCTTGTGCAACCTAAGTTTTCTAGATAGTCTCTTGGTGGTCATCATAATTCTTAATTTAGATTTGAAAGCACAGATAAAGTAGGAGTAAAGAAGGAAAATTCAGCAATGGTCAGAGGCGTCAAGTGCATATTTGGCTGGGCACTGGGCAGGCAACATAAGTTGCATTGATGAATGCAGGGGTTTGACCTCTACCATTTCCAGAAATCAGCATGGATCACCATGCATATTGGCAAAACCATGGCATGTTATAGATACTGCTGAAGTTGGTCCGTGCACAACATATGACATGTAATATTGTAAATAATCTGCTACCTTATCCTTAAAGTTTTTTTCCCATGTTAATACCCACTCCCATTTGGACATATTCATGGTGTGAAGAGAAAGAGAGCTGTTTTCTCTCTTTTCCACGAGATTAGGGTTTCTAACAGGGTACTATACACATCCAATGAGCACCATTGAGATTGTAAGAGCCGGGGGATCTATTATCTTTGCACTCATTGATCATAGTGAATAGCAACCACCTTTAGAGTGTATTTGGATAAAGAAAGGCGAATGAAAAAAGAGGAGGTAGGGTGTGATGGATCCGGGTCAGCCACAGCCTATTCGGGTCTATGCTAGAAGGAAAGTCAATGGGGAAAACCAAGAAACCAAGACTAACGGTGGGATGTTCAAAGCAGGGGACCAAGTCAGCAAGATAAAAGGGTAGCAGAACCCACGGCAGAAGTGGACAGAGTGGGTTAGTGAAGACTTGTGATGGAAGAGCCGAAAATGGAAAGCAGAGAAAAGAGGAATGAAAAAGCAGAGAAAAGAAGAACTAATCTTTTGTGTAACCTTGTTAGGAGTATTATTGTATTTTGTATTATATAAAGAAGGAGATCACTTTTTGTAAGGTATCCAGAGATTAGTGAGGAAAACACTTGAGAGATTTGCAACCTAAAGTTGCTTAGGAGATTGGCAGCCTCTAGTTGCTCCCCTTGTATCCCCTTTTGATGAATCAATCAATTAATAGCCAATCTTCTATTCCTTAGTTTCACTCATTAACTACAGTAGAATTGCTAGTCTATTACAGGAGGGGGAGGGGGGGAGGGGGAAATGATGATTTTTCCTTCCAAACCTCTCCATTGTTGGAGAGATCAATTTCTTCCAGTTTAATCCCTTCATTTCTCTCCCCTCCAAGTCCCTTCCTTCCTCATTTGTTATACAAATAAAAGATACTTCATCCCTCCATTCCCTTCAATCGAAACAAAAGGTTTTAGATGAAGTTTTTATCCATCTTACAAAGGTTCCCATAAGATAGGTGTATTCACTCTTGATCTTGAATTTTATTCTTGATTACTTAGTTTCAACATTGATTGTGATTGCATTAAGTCCCCAACGTTCCATATCACATAGGAATAGCAAACTTGGGTGGGGGTGGGGGATCCAATGAACATTAAAGAATCTAATTCTCATGATAACATATTGGACTTTACAGAAAACAACAAATACTTACTGCTATTGTAGTACCATTCCTGCAAAATGCTGGGTAGTGTTTTAGCTGCTTTCCACAAGTCCATGCAGCACCTATCCACACAACATCTGAGTAGGATTGCTTCAAGTTTTTAACCCGACGATCCTGAAATAATTCCGGATATTTAAATCAGTAAATTGGTGTTAAAAAGAAACTGTAATAAAGGCTCATAGATTTACCATTTTGTCTGTAGTGAAATATTGAGCACTTAATAGCTCAGAAGATCCTAAAGAATGGGTTGAATCACCACTTGGAGAATCTGTCATGATCAGAAGTACAAGATAAGTATCTGTTCACAATTCATCATTGACAGTTACTGAAAGGTAAAAGTGAGCATATTGTAGATAAGCTGATGTTTTATGAGCTGCTATAGCAGGGAACACCCCAGGTCTCTAGGGTATGTGCAATGTTGCCATGTAATATAATGGATTATAGACCATATGCTACATCTACAACCTAAACCATGAGGAAATCATCTGAACCTGGAGAATCCAATAATGCATCATAGAGCATTGAAAATCAGTCCATAAGTTGCCCAGGTTCAGATCTAACCAAATTCTATAATGTATGAATACACTTAATTTTAATTGATATGTGCAAGAGACATAAAGGGAAAAGGGGTGGACTCATCATACTTATCAAGAAACACACCACTATTTTCTCTGCTCGTTGAATAAGCTTATAAACCATAATTTAATTAGGTGCAAATTTTAGATAAATATTCTTCTATTGTTGCATTGATCTTTTTTCTAAAAGGGAGTGTGATCAGGATGGTTATATCAATAATAGGTTGGATAGGTAATATCAAATACCCGAACTAAAAAGAAGGAAAAGTATTGAGTTACAATTTTATTCAAATGCTACCATAGACCAAACCATAGCATCCTTATTTGAAACAGGATTACACAAACGCAAGGCAACCACACTACAACCACATGAAGATCAAGGCAATCATGAAACATCAAGATTCGACATATCCAAATCTTTAGAACAACACCATTGAAACAAGGTAAACCTCATATCATTCATTTTAAAAACACTTAAACTTTCACTTATCCATTCTCTCTCGCCCTCAAGATGATCAAAGCAATCAAGTTTAGAATAACCACAACCAGCACCATCTAACAATCAAATATTCACAAGCCAATCATCAACAACATAATGCATACATCACAAACATAAAGTTAAGGTGAAAGCACGAATGGATCACCTGCTTGTTGCTGCTTGGCCAGCAGGGATGTAAGCCAGTCAACCACCTCCCTTCTTGATCTCCATTTAAACCCAGCTTGCACAGGATTATCAGTGCCAGAATAACTCAAAAAATCCTCAGCAACAACATAAACCATGTGCCTAAGACTCCTCTCAGTGCCAACCACAGCAAGTATAGATTTCCCACAATAATCTTTCAATATATAATGAACAATCCTGCTGCCTCTCTCCTGAGACACAAATTCTTCCCTCCATTCCACAAAAGTTACACCGTTTTCCGCCATTTGCCGAAAAAAAACTCACAATATCAATCAAATTCCACAAAACAAACCCTAATTACACCTCTCAGGGGCAAAAATCTACACTATCTAGCCCAAATAATTTATCTTTCCAATCAGCTAAATAATACAACAACATAAAACTAAAAGTATAACAAATGGGGGGTATTTTCCCAAATTAAACAAGAACCCCTACAATGTTAAACCCTAGAAACCACAATAAAATCCCAGCTGAAAGTGAATGAACACAATAAATTAAAATCATGGGTTTTGCTCCCAAATGCATATAGATTCAACAACAACAAAGAGATCAAGAGAATTACAGCCAGATCACAAGAATATAAGGTGGGCACCCAGTAAAAATCCTTTCTTTAATGCTAAAGAGTTGACTTTAACATCATATTCTGCTACAAATCATCAAGAAAATGAGATGGGCACACTCTTTTTTGGAAGTAAACATGAGAATTTGGGGCTTTAGAAGCTCAAATTGAGAAAACATTCATTAAAAGGGGCAAATTAGAATTGTAACTCAGAGAAAAGGGGATTGAAAATGTAATCTTTTAATGGTTGTAATAAAAAATTGGAAGTGGGTGAGTGAGAGAGGAGAGAGAAAAGCATGAGAAGTGAAAATGGAGGAGCAGCAGATGGGTCTTAGGTAAGCCATGGAAATGGTGATTTGAGTGATGAGAGTTGCAGAAATGGAGGAATTTGAGACATGTCATGGAAATGTACCTTTAGCTGAGGAGAGAGAAGAATTTGGAAAGGGTCATAAAAGAGGATTTTTTTATTTTTTTATTTTTTTGGAATCTTTTTTTAAAAGCATTATTTTGACCGACGATATGAAAAGTTTATTGGATGATGATCTCCTATCATCTCTTATAATTCTGATTTGGATGATTTTATAAGATGGACTCCCACCAAGGATGGGAATTTCTCTATAAAATCTGCCTATCATCTTCAATGCTCCCTCTCCTTAGTTCCTGATAATCATGATTAGGGGTGGTTATTGGGGTAAGGCTACCCAATGGCAAAAGGGTCGGGCCTAATATTAAAGGGTTTTGACCCTTAATTTTTTAATGGACAGGGCTTTTATAGGGTCTTATTTTGTAGGGTTTTTATAGGGTCTTATTTTGTAGGGCTTTTATAGGGTCTTATTTTTTAATGAATCAGGCCTTAAGAATTAAAATAAAAAACCCAATAATAATAGTTAAGGGTCAAGCCTTACTTCCATTTTCTCTCTCTTCTCCTCTGTTCTTTCGCCCACCTTTCTCTCTCCTCCATTGAAGCTCACTCAGAGTTCACCATTGAAGTCGCTTCAGCGTTAATAAGCTCAAAATAAGTTCAATTCAGATTGACCTCTGTTTTTATTTTGTGAATATAAATTTCTGGGTTCTGACTTTTTCAATTACTCGTTTTTTTGTTAGAACCTTTGATTATTTCCCAGTTATATAAATCATTCCTTATTCTTCTTCATTCATACTTTGATTTCTTGATATAGTATATGGTTTTTTCGTAACGCAATCTGAAATTGATCATCAAAAAATGTTAGGAGATTTCATTGGAAGAGGACTTTTGTAAGTGATTTGTTTCATTCTGTTTTTTTACTTGAATTTTCGATTACATTTGTTTGATTTTGTACTCTTAATTCGTTTTATACAAAAAATTCCGATTCAAGTAAAACCGTCTGATACAAGAATTTGCAATAGTAGTAGTATTAGTTGATTCGTGTTAAAGAAATATTGTGATTTTTTTTTTGTGTGTGTGTGTGTGTTGATAATAATTGGATATATATTGTTAATTGATTGATAATTATTGATGTGAAATTGGTATATTCTACTATATCTTGAAATTTAACAATTATTTGGTCAATTGAATATTGATTATTATATTCTCTATTACATTTTCCCGTTACTTGCATCAAGTTTTCATTGATTGTATACAATCTTTACGAAATTCTGGTTCAAAATTTCATACTGGAGTAGTATTATTATTAAAATTTCTTTGTTCAATTGCACCATATTTTGTATAGAACGGGAGTATTTCATACGAGCCCATTAATAGCCCGTTTCACTTTTACCTTGACCCTGATTCGACTCTAACCCGCATTGACCCTGACCCGACCCTAACCCGCTAAATATTCATCTTGACCCGCAACCAACCTGCCCCGCTAATGACCCGCACTGACCCGCCCAATAACCACCCCTAATCATGATGCATTCCCTTCCAATCTTTGGAAAAAGATTTGGAAAATTAAGACCCCACACAAATACAATATGCTCTTGTGGCATTGTGCTCATTCCATTCTTTCTCTCTTTCCTATCATATTCCTCTCCTTTCTTCTCTATGTTGTAGATGTGGTATATACAGTGAGACTCGTCTTCATCTTTTTAGAGATTGTTTTTCTTCATCTATCTTATGGAATTTCATTTTTCAGAGAATGACAATTCCTACAGATTTTGATTATCATGCCTTTAAAAATTCGGATTGGGATCAATGGATTGTTTTAATTTGTCCCATTCTGATAAATTGGAGGGTGATTTTTTTGTTCTTGTTTGTGGCATATCTGGAAGGAACGTAACACTGCTGTTTTTTGAGCAAAAAATGTATCATTCCATGCATACATTCAGCAAATTCTTTGTTGATTATCAAATGAGTGCTCGCATTCTGCAGGGAAAAAGCAAAGCTCATGAAGGTGGTTCTTGCTACTTCGGTTTGGATTCCTCCTAGAGAGGGATTCATGAAATTAAATGCGGATGATGCTTAGAAGCATGCTGAAGATGCTGGTGGTGGTGGTGTAATTAAAAGAGCTAATGGTTCTTGGTTTCTTCTGCTTTTCAAGTAATACAATGCTGTGTTTCCTCTTGCTGCTGAACTACTTGCTATGCGTGAAGGTCTGTATGTTACTACTGATTTCAAGATAAAGAAATATTGAAGTTGAAACTGATGCAGAGTACTTGAAGAATTTATTCAACTCAGTGGATCATGTTCCTCAGTCCTCACCATGAGCTCTATGATGTCATTAACGATGTTGCGGAGGTTCTAAGGATGAATATGGTAACATTCTTATCAGGCATGTTCCTTGAGAAAGGAACATTTTAGCTCATAGCCTTGCTACTTATGGGATTGAGATGAATATTGGGCATAAGGATCACTTCTTGGTTCCTCCGTTTGCTAAACAAATATATGATGCTGATCTTGGTGCTTCTTTATCTTCAGGATAGAGTCTTTGTGGTTCCTCTTCGCTGCAATTGATGTTCAATAAAGACTCTTTTAATTCGCTTTTTGACTACCTTTGTACTTTCCAGTTTGTATTATAGTCTCCTTGATGCTGTGTTGATTAAGGGTAGGTTATGTAATAGCTTAGTGTTTCATTTCCCTTCCATCAGTTCCATTTGTTTCGGGTTTTCCTGTGTCCCTCGGGAGAGTTACGTCACTAAGTCTGGATTTCGGGGCGCCTGTACTTGTAAAACAACAGAGACTCCGGTTGGGTGGAGTTCCGCCTCCGACGATCAAGTTAGAACGTGTACATAGAATGTAAAAAGTGCGGAAAGTAAAGTGAGAT